TTTCGTTTAATTAAGATTGATTCACATAGAAATATAGAATTTAATTAGTTAAATATGTTCAATGAGAACTCGAGAGGGGTAAATCGAATACAATAAAAGAATTTTTATCGAACACTACGTTAGATTATGAATCTTGAATTAAGAATAAATGTAATCAATAGATGGAATTGTTATGCCCTAATATTCATCACATATTTGAATTTTCAATTATCCATTGTCTGCAATCATTTCATATTTTCAATTAGTTAAAAGTAGTTAAGAAAAAAATAATCACAATCATCATAAATATTTACTTGCTTTTGTTAAATAGAAATTAGAAAAAATAGATTAAATCCTAAAGTATAGTTCCCGTAGGAAAGATATTCGAATTCAAAGGTCCACTATACTTTTTGATACGATATCGTACATTTGCGATATGAAAAACGCAATAACTTTAAAAAAAAAAAAAATCACCTCAACCCTCTAAAGAAGACTTGAATCCACTCCAAAGACTTAGTTAAAGCTTATTTTTAAAGTACTCATGTCTAGCCCATCTACTCTAGATTTCATGGAGTAGGAAAAGCCACAATGAGGTTCAATAGATAATGTCGAGCTAAATGCTCTAGAAGCCATTGAAATGTAGATTGTATGAATTCTGTACAACCTTACTTTGCACTCGAGCATTATGCAAGTATTTTTACGTGAAAATATGAATTTCCTTTACGATAACTTTGTGTACAAGTAAACTTTGCGATCAAGAATAATTTAATAATGGCCCACTAGAATTCATTAATATGATAAAGCAAACTATAATCATTAACTTGCATCCAATTTCTGTTTAAGTGTCAACAAAGGAAGAAAAGAGGAAAAAGGAGAAAGGAGAAAGTGAAAGATTTGATATACACTTTGATGGATGAGAATTTTAGGGGATGGAAAAGATCACACAAACATCCCATTGAGTCCTTCTTTACAAAAGACACTCGACCTTTTGTTAATTTATTTATTTTTAATAATTTAATTATATAATATAATCATTAGAAGCAGTATAATCGTGATTCACAATTCACCTTTTACGACACGAAATGTGACAAATATGCAACAATAATATCAACAAGTTAAATCTTAGTCCTAATAAATTTGAGATCGTGAAGTTTTCCATCGTTATGTCCTTTGAAATTGAGCCTCCGTTTGTTTCTCATTTTTCATCCATAAAAATAAAAAATATGACTATTATCTATCACATCAAATCATCAATTTTAAATTTATATCTCTTGCGTGGGGCTCAATAACGACTATATTTTTCATTCTAATTCTAAAATAATGGAAAACTTCATGATCTCAAATTTATGTAATACTAATATCAAAATATAAACTTAATTTTGTGGAATATCTTTTGGTACCTTGCACTTATCACTTGCAATGATATTATATATTTTTCAAAAATGAAATTACAAAATATTGTGCTAAACTGAATTTGTTTGATCCAAAGTCCAAAAAGTAAAACATATAAAAAAAAAAAAATAAAATTCTTTGTACCTTTTATCTTTATTCGAGTACTCTTGTCATAACATGAAAAATGATCAAAATTTAGATTTTCTGCATCAATTTTGTTTATTACTTGAAAAATGAACAGTTTAATTTTAATGTAAATAATATTGAGAAATTAGTTTTCTTTAAGCAAAAATAGTGCTCTTAAGTCTTATCCAAACGAGAGGCCTATAGATAAAGAAAAAAACTTTCTTTAATTATTATTATTATTATTATTATTATTATTATTTATGTATGTATTTATTTTTTTGTTATTTTCCTGAAGGACAAGAAGAACTTTGAAAAATGGCTCATATACTATTATGTAGATTTCTTTTATTATTTAATTTCTCAGCTGTGCTTATTTCTGCTTTGAGTATTTAAGTTTGTAATCTCGCTATTGAATTATTTGCTGCAACCTTATCATTCACAATTACATTCTGTAATTTTCAGTTCACCTCATTAATTTTTATTTTTAATTTCTTATTTTGGGTCAAGTCAATTTATTATTTATTTGTATTTTATTTTTGTAGTGGAAAAAAATATTATAAGATTCACAAAATTTAAAATGTTTATATTACTCGATATTATATTGCCATAAAACTGCTCAATTTTACCGTATTTTCAACTTCATTGAATAAAATATCATAAAATAAAATAAAAATTCCAAACAAATTTGTTTTTCAGTTTTTTTTTTATCTGAAAAATATTTTTTTAGAATGACAAATCAAATACGTTTTGTACAATCTTAAAACAAACATTCAAAACAGTAAATAAAAATACAAACTAAAAGGGACCTAGATGTTTGATGTTTCACATGAGATAATTAATGTTGCCTCTCGTGTATGGTAAGATTGATAATTGATTGTTTATGTAGTACCAAACACGGTGTACGAATAATTTGTCCATTAGCGACCGACATGTTATACTTGAAGGTGAAAAGGTTAGAAGAAAAAAATTGTTACGAGGAAAATTTACTAGGGATTAGAACAAAAGGTAAATTTTAGTTTCTTTACATAAAATAAACACCTGATGAACTTTTATCACAATGGATAGCAGATTTCAACTCATGACTATGCCAATGTTGGGAGGAAAATTTACTTCGGGAAATTCAAGTAAAAGGAAAATTTACAATTTTTTCGAAATTACCCCACTTTTTAGACAAATCTACAAATACTACAAACTTGATGATTGAAGACTCACATGGTGTAGAAAATTGGTTACAAGTATCGAAATGCGCACTTGTGTTTAAAAAAGGGCATCGATCGAGCTTGGCCAAGAATGAATGTATGTTTTAACATGGTAAGATCCAACACCGACTAAACTCGAAAGGCAAGTAAACTTGTCAAGAATTATGAGATGATATTGGACGCATAGGAATGTTGGAGTGCGACAAGAATGGTAACACCAAAACACGTAGAGCATGGGACACCCTATACGACTCGCAGTTGCTAAGAATTACGATTTTATTTGGCCACATTCTAATTTTTTAAAGGACAATGCTACATGTATATCGAGACTTACATAATGCCCCATAATACTTTATCATTTGTCATTTTAAAGTACAATCTGCTTTTTTATTTAATATTTTCCCTCAACATCATTTTGGTCACTTCTTACTGTTTTTGTACAAACAGCAAAATCTTTTTCTAAAATCTGGCTTAAATATTGGAGGAGGAACAAGGGAGTCCTCTATTCCACTCAAGTTATATCACCAATCTCAGATATTGTACAAAAGATTTCTCAATTTTGATTGATTAACCTTTTTTCTTCATTATTCTCACTCTTAAAAATCCTGATAATCTTTCCTAGCTATATGCCCCATTTAGTCGACTCTATTTTCATTTGTGCATGAAAATCTGATTAAGCCCCCGTTTGTTTCTCATTTTCATCCATAAAAATAAAAAATATGACCGTTATCCATCACATCAAGTTATCAATTTTGAATTTCTATCTCTTGTGCAGAGCTTCATAACAGCTATATTGTTCATTCTCATTCTCATTCTACAATAATGAGAATCAGCTATATTGTTCATTCTCATTCTCATTCTACAATAATGAGAATCAAACGGGCCCTAAGATTTAGGTACTGAATAGCATATCAGGAGAGTTTAATAAGGTTAAGCCGGTCCAATTTCATAACACAAAGTAATATTCCAAATTAGAGAAGCAAATGCTTGCAAAATAACACAAAAATTAGTATAACAAGTGAACGCCCCTCTTCACTTCATTTATGAAAACCTTCATCATGAAGCATTCGTTCATCATAACTCAATTATATATAAATCTGCAAAATCAACCCATTTTAGCAATCTATCAATTCTAATCCTATAATTGGACATATCAATTAAAAAAAAAACTAAAAAAGGCTCAATAAATGAATGCTTAGATAATTATTCACTAACCAAATTCAGATTTCAAACTATATATACATACTCTTATTGAGAAGTATTTTAGTCATCATTTTCACTGTCATTAGCCTGAGTCTGCTGCTGCTGCTGGGGCTCCAATGGATAATGAACTTGCTGAGCCTGCCCAGAATTTATATTCAAACCACCTCTTGAATAATCATTGAACGCTGACAACATGCCTAAATTGGACTCACGCAATCCAAGATGCTGTGAAGGTTGTTGCTGCTGCTGCTGCATCATCCCACCTTGAAGTTCAGAATTTCCCGAGTAATTGAACCTCGCAGACATGGGAAATTGCCACATTTGAGAAGACTCTGAGGGTCCGGCAGCCAGCCACGGTGGGCCTACCACACCGTTGCCAGCCAATGTCTGCCCATCGCCGCTTGCACCACCGGCAGTGACGGGCAACGTCAAGAAACAGCTGGAAGTGGTGGTGATGTTGGGTGGGGCATTGGCAGTCAGCATGTTACTATGCCTCAACAAACTTGTAGGTGTTTGTCCAGCCGCGGCCGCAAGATGCATAATTTGCATATCATAGCCCTCGATTTTTTTATTGGAAGATGAACTGGAGCTTTCTCCTTGAACATTATTGGTTCCTTCTTCTTTGAACAAGTCTTCTCTGTATCTCTTTTGAGAGTAATTCTTCGTCGCACCTTGTGGACAAACGCCGCCATCTCCACCACTACTTCCGCCAGTAATTTGAGCTGGTTGTAAAAGATGAGGACTTTGTTGGTGATGAAACCCTAACATGTCTGAAAAGTTCTCTTCATAAGGGCGGGGTACGTTTAGTCCAAGTGCACCGTGAAAAGAATGCGGAGCCGATCTCGAAAGCGGAGCCGAAAGAGTGGAGCCACTGCTCCGGAGAGAGATGTTGAGGTTGGAAAAATTTGCTGGAATTGTTCCTGTGCCTGTTGCAGCTAGGATAGCTGGCTCAGCTTGTTGCAAGAGCCACTCGATGGTTTCACCATCAGATTTATGGCCTAATTCTCGAGTCAGTTGAAAAACCCTAGCTGCACAAGTAGCCGGCATTCGGACTCGCCGCCCTCGACCATCGACTTTTGTGTGCCGGTCCTTTGTTGTACTTTTGGGTGGTTTCTTGGTAGAATCATCTATGGTTTCCGATCCGGTGGTGACAATAGCTAAGGAGGAGTCAACGAGTTGTGCCGGTGGTGGTTGAGTGGTGGAGGCCTTAATTAAAACAGCGGTAGATGACGATGACCCACCACCACCACCCCCATGTGGTGGTTGGAAGTGAGATTCGGGTGCATTAAGGTGGTAGGGTTGTGAATTTGTGGTGTTTGTTTGTTTATTGGTATTTGACATTATTTGGTGGGGTTATCTTAGAATTTTCTTTGTGGGTTCAAGCTTTGATATTTCTATAATGTTTCCTTTTTCTCTGTCTGATGCCTTGTTCAATCCATCAGATGTTCAAGAGAAAAAAAGCCTTTAAAATCTTGAGTTGTGACTTCTCTTGCCTTCTTTTCTGGTGCTGTTAAAGTCACACTGTGCATATATTTATGGTGCAAAATTAACCATCAGAGAGAGAGAGAGAGAGAGAGAGAGAGAGAGAGAGAGAGTGTGTGTGTGTGTTACACATAAAAAAGGGTTGGTTAATTAAGAAAGGAGTGAGGCCAGGGTGGTAGATAGACAACTCAGGTAAGCATGAAAAACACTAGGACAGGCAGCTTATATCACATTTTTGGTTTTATTAATTTTGATTATTGAGTTCTTGGACAATAATTAAAAGAGTCAAATATTACTTAGCAATATTTAAATATGTTTATTATGATAATTGTGCATGACTAAACAATACAATAATATAAATATCTATAATTTATTAAATATTACATCGAGTTAGAATTATTTTTTGAACGATTCTAACCCTACGATAATTCAATTATTTCAATAAAACCTTACTTTTCGTTTTTCAAGATATATTTTATTTATTTAATCATTTAGATTCAATCAATATAAATGTATATGTGACAGATTTCACCAGTGTGCTTTCATTAACGTATGAATTCTCTATTATTAATTCTCAATTAATAAATATTCACATTCACTGAATTAATATTCATCATTTATACATTTTAGTGTCATTAACTCTAATTATAAGTTAATTAAAATTTCATATTCAAGAAGAGTAATGTTATTCATCCCCGGTGGGGATGAAAACACAGTTTATGTGGATTTAAATGTAGTGGTGTCAAT